GGAAGGGTGCTCTTAAACAGTGTACACCGCGTGCATAGAATCGACACTACTTACTATGAAGCCCTCTTCATAGCAATGTCCGCTGCTCATGAGTCAATACTGGTTACACTAAGTACCACTGCCATAGCAGTGCCAATATCTGCTGTTTGAGCCAGGTTAAGTTAGACGTATATGTTTGAACACAGCCAAAGTCAACTTTTTGAAAGCGCTGATAATAATCTGCGATTTAAATCCCAGTTGATTTCCGGAGCTTAAATTACCACTCCTTTGATAGTGCGTTCTGTGCACGGAAACTGAGGAAGAAGAAGGGAAGCCACTCTCCAGCAATGCCCAGAGGATCGCTGCTGAGATAGCAGTATCTGGATAAATAGGATTTTGGAAAAAACCTTTCAGTAGGTGTGTCCGGTATTGGGTGAACCATTTCTTGGTCAGCACACTCTCCAATTAAGGACCGGACGTTGTTTTATGCAATGAAACATGATGGTGGTGTTTGACTACAGAATAAAACTGATTAAAACATCGCAGTAGCCACAGTAGTGACTTGAACCTAATCACACTTCTGTACTTGCATCAACCGGTGAATGTGACTGAATTGTTGGAACCTGAGAGTTAGAATTTGAGCAGACCCTTGAGCAAATGCGTAAGGCAATTAAGAGACCCTTTGATGCGGAGAAAACTGAGAATTGACCTGTTTTGAGGCAAGCCAGTAGATCTTTTTTAAGTTTTGATTTGGACTACGCATGTTGCAGCCTTGAGGACGATGAAGGTTGGCGTAGACTTGATAATTCACATAAAATACCAGAAGTTTTTAAAAGAAGTTAGGAGAGAGACTAATCTCTTTCTTTCTCATGATATGAACTTGCCGTTCCCACCGGCCTGCCTACCACTTGATTATTATTACTCTTGACGTGGATCCCGAGAAGGGGGAGAAATTAGGCTCTTTCTACCATCATCACTTCAAATTAGAGCCCTTACGGCCCTCCCACTTCATTCGCTTTTAGCCTTACCTCTACTGATGCAAAATTGTCCACAACATGTGCGTCCAGGAGTT